AAAAAAAAAAAATTTTTTTTTTTTTTTAATCTTTGTGTTTTTTTTTTGTGGGGGGGGGGGGGGGGGGGGAGGGGGGGTTGAGTGGGGTTGTTTTGCATACAGTGTGTGATGTCGCTGTTCTCAGGGCAGAGTCGGCCCACATCGACTCCCGATAGTAAACAATGCATACGGACTCCAAGGCCATCTCTTCTCTTCTCTTTATTCACACGGTCACACAAGCTACCATTTTTAGAGTGTGTGTGTTTTATTTTTTTGGCTGAGGGAAGCAGCTTTCAGGGAGGCAGAGAGGGAGGGGGGCCACCAGTGACATAGAATACCACCAGGAGGCTCTGCTGGGAGGTCTCCCTGCTTGAGGTACAGGTGGGCGCTGAGCTCTACATCCAGTGAACGCCTAGCATGTGTCCACACGTGTTTTACCTGTGGGCTGATCTTTAAAGATTGGTAGGGGGGCTGTGGCTGGGTTACTTACCCTGTCCAGTTCGGCTCCGCTGATAACGCAGTTCTGGTGCTGTGTGCCGGGCGCTGCTACAGAGCGCTAACAGTCAGCTCAAAGTCAAGGGGTATTAGGCCTCTCAAAATCACACCGGGGAATTTGCTTGTGCACTACACCCGACAACAGGAAACCATAGAAGCAAAAACGATTTACAGCTATTAAATCAGATACAAGAGAAAGGGTTTTAGTTTGCTCTCAGTACTGAGCAAGGAAAAAAGTTAGTACTATTAAGAAATGTTATTATGATAATAATTATCACTGCAATAATAATAATAATAATTGTCACCATAATCCTCATAGTAAAAATATGAGTTACTGCAGCAAGTTCTCAGGACACTTTTCTTTCTGGAACTGCTGAAGCTGTAACACAGCATTCACAGTTATTTTGAACAACTGAAACTCAGACATAAAGGCTGAAGTCAGCTCACCTCTCTCACCACAAGCCTGCAATAGCTAAAGGACATTAAAGCATATTAACGTTTTCTGTTAGTTTCACTAACCGGATGAGCAGCGGCTGTTGTATGAGTGGTCACACGTCGAGAGGCAGATGGACGGTGGAACACTTTGAAGAGTTTCAGCACGAGCTCAAATATAACCACTACGCATTTATCTGCCTTACTTTGAGGGCTTTGGTCACTGCAGCTCACGCACGAATAGGTCAGACATCACGTTACAGCACACAACATTCCACTCGCTAGCTAATGATCTCACAGAATGAGAATTACTGCTTGTTTACAGTTTTTTCCCCTTCAGGTCATTTGTAAAATTTTTCAGCTACGATTACTATTCACCAAAAAATAATTACTGATGAATCAGTACATGTAATTTCAGGCAGGCAATAATTTGACAAATAAACAAATAGATACACTTCAATGCTGGGTACTGGGCTTGATATGTGCGATTATATGGTAGACATGTCCTGAAAGCATATCAACTAATCGACAAGTTGAATCTAGGATAACTAATCTTCTTAATAATTGCAGGGCTCTGTGGGCTGGTCCTCCATTTCCTTGCTTTCCTCATATTTTTGTGTTTTACCTTGGGGGACTTTGTCCTCCTACCAAGGCCCGCAGACATCTACTATCTCTGAATTACCTATTGTCCTCTGCTTCATGCCCTGGACTTCCTGAGATGGGTGCCAGGATCACCCTGACCCAGGTGATGGATGATTATAAATAAACTAAAAAAAAAGGTATTTGCTTTTTCACATAGTGTTAATAAGGCAATTGATTCATTGCAGCTCATTTAATATGACTAGTAAAACTGCTATTAAGAAGACAAATTTATCAGATCATTCGTAAAATTTAGAATACGTCACCTACAGACCAGATTCGGAATGAGATGCTGAGTCCCACACTTTCACACTTAACAAAGAAATAAATTTCCTTTTCAGTGCAAGTGTGCTTGCGTACAGTTACCCACAGAGGACATTTGGCAGCGTGACTTGGCTCTGCTGAAGGCAGTCTGTGGGCGCCGGCTCAAAATACTGAAGTAAAAATAACTGCAAAGGCAGAATTTGAGGTAGAAAAAGTGAATTCACCTGAGCTAATGAGAAGTGAACATCATTGGATTAAGGTGACCTTACACTCTGCAGTGACCTCCAATACATGATAAGTGTAAAGAGATGGGTTGAGCTTTATAAAAATTATTAATCAGATGTAGCACTAGGTTAACAGGCAGATGAATTCAATTCAATTCAATTCTTTTATTGTCATATGTACAAGTACAAGTACCATGTACAATGAAATTCTTACTTGCATGTGTCCCTGCAGACAGTGAATATAGACAAGACGATAAAAAAAACCAAAAAAACACAAAATTAATAGATGATTTAACTAACTAGGACAAAAAGTGCGGGTAGTAAATGTGATTTTTACAAAACACCATAAAGAAAGTTTTCCTACAGCTTTTATAATATGAGATAGCACAGTTAAGGTATATCTAGCCTGAAACTATTAGTCAGCTTTCTTTAAACAATTATTTTTAAAATACATTAAAATTTAAATAAATCTACCGATCTACATCCACTACTGTGCTTATCGTCTCTTACACCTAAATACCCAGAAAATACATTGCACCCAAAAAAATCCAGTATATTCACAGTGTTACCACATTCCATGAGAAGACAGTTAAACTTGAGTGTGACATTCACATCGGTACGCATGGGGGCCTGCATTTTTGGCTTGCCTCTGTACTACTTGCGGGAATTTGACTAGTCAAGCCATCACCTATCTCTGACGCTCAAACCCCACCCAGATACGTAAGAAATATCCTCCTTTCCTACCTGTCAATAGTATGTCATGCAATAGGGCTGCTGTGCTGCCCCCAAAGCCCAGAATACCCAGGTTTCTCACTCTGGGTTTTTTCCCGTTGGACACTGGACAAGTTCTATAGTTTGCTGTTGTTTATTTATTTATAGTTCTGTAATTAAAAAAAAAACACTATCAATCTTTCCAAGTTCCTGTGCTTTGTTTCCTGTTTACTAATTCTTTGTCAACATAAACAAATGTTCGTTGGGTCCATTAATTAACCCTAAGTAAATTTAATTAGATTGAAATTGAAAAGTTAGCATACATGCAGGTTTTAAAAAATAACAACATTTCTTTTGTATGTGACATATGACATGATGCTACTTATCTCTGTATTTTTCTCCAAAGGAATCACTTTCCATTCAGCAGCATGGTCTTGACTACTTTTTGGGCATTTTTTTTTTTCCTGTCACGTGTCTCACACCAACGTTTTGCACAGAATCTGACCAGCCATCAACATCTGCAGGCACTCAGAGCTGCTGAAGGTAGCCGACCAGGGAGAGATGCAGACTGCTGATGGCAGAGACTCGCTCGCTCGCTCGCGTCAAGGCTCTCCTGCAATTTTGGAAGATAAACAAAGGAACTCCTACCTACAGTGCTTTTAGCAGCCTGGAAGAAAGAGAGGCTTCCTTTAAGTGCGATAATAAAAAAAAGAAATCTCTATAGATCTCTTAATGAGGTTGTCATGGTCAATCTCAAGATTTTTCCATCAAACTGACTGCTATAATTCCATCTTTGCCCGATTGATTTCCAATGTGGAATTCATTCTGCTGAAATCTCACTGCCCCCTTTGTTTTGCCCCAATCCTTTACCTTCCTCATTTACTATAATTCCTCTCCCAGAAAAAGGGGGGAAGAAAACGAAAACAAAGCTCAGCTCCTAATGTGAGGTATCCTCAGGAATCCGAGGTGCCGGAGAGCTACAGCGAGTCACTCCATGTAGGGGGTAGGGGGGCCATAGAGGTCCCCTGTTCTTTTAGGACACCCCCTGCTCAATTCTCACTAGGTAATCCATTTAATACTAATCTAGATGCATCTGAAAAGGGGGTCTATTCACAGCAAATTGGGGAGGGGGGAGAAAAGGAAATAACTTAATTCTGTAATCAATGTAGCCCTGATCTTGAATAATGTGACATGCATTTTTTTTTTATCTCTTATTGTGGTCCTAATGACGAGCGTTATTTCAAAACACGCTATTCCCTCGGCGGACAATAAAGACACCTCTCCAAACAAAGATAATTGTTCCGGCTTTATTCTGTTTTTACCATTCAGCCCATAGAGCTGCCAATTATCGGGACATATTTCGAGCCGCTCTCGCACAAGCCGCTCTTCCGCTTTTGGCATCGGCAGATGAAAACGAGGTTATTTTATTTTTTTATTATTATTCCAACTACAAACAGTAACAGTCATTCAGGCTGGCTTTTTTCCCCCCTTTTTTTGGGTTTATTGAAAAACGGCACCCGGAAAGAGTGAAGGCGCTCTGAGGTGTGTGGGATCCGCTTTGATATTCAGATTGGGCTGCCTACACGGGGCATTATGACACATTTGGATGATTGCATTGTGGGATCAAGAGCCGGCCTTGTCATTCCCAACAACAATGCCGCGATTTAGGAATGCTGCTCCTCACACCGTGCCGCGCATTAATGCCAGGGTCCCCAGATTTACATAAATCATTGTCTTAAGATGAAAGAATGGATGGAGGCAATGAAGTTCAGCCTAAGAAATACTGGATGTGCGTCTGTGTGTGTTGCTGGAGTTTGAGGTACACGTGGACACATGTGTGTGTGTGTGTGTTTGTGCATTATTGATATGCAGATACACTTCTCCACTCTACCCTTTCAGTTACACCAAATGAACAAGAAAAACATTATCTCCGTGGAGAGGTTGCACACGCTTGGAAAATGGACTTATCTCATAG